AATTGAGTAATTCACATATGACCAAATTTAATTAAGCAAAATTAGGTTATAGTCTTCAACATAACTTTATCATTCACATACATACATAAATCCTGTCTAAACCTCTTTAGGATTTCACGTAAGGTAAAATTAACCAAATTCCTAACAATTCAATATTCATTCATTTAAAAAAAAAATACGAAGTGACATAAACAATTAAGTAATAAATAATATTTCTACAGCAGATGGATTTATATATATAATTTCAACTTTTTTAACGTAGGGACCACACTGCAATAGTGCGTGGATTATTATGAAATTTCACAAGTTGAAAAATATCACGACAGTATAGTGGCCATTGTGGTAAAACATAAGTTTTTTTTTTTAGGAAGATATTTCTCAAAAGTTGCACACACACACACACACACACTAAAGGACAGTTTTATAAATTCCATAATTTTAAAACGTACCGGATTAGGATAGAAGCCATTCTGAAATTTCAAAAGCTGGAAATTTAAATGTTTAGCAATCTTTCAATACATACATTTTTCTTTTTCTTTTTTATAATCTTCCATTTAAAAGAAAATTACAAGATATTTTTTATGACCTTTTTTTAATTCCTAATTCATTTAAAATTTTGAAGCCTATATGGATTTACAAAAAAATTAAACTTGGACTCTAATATCAAATTGTAATGATCCAAGTTTTATTAGAACCAAATTGCTACTAAAAGTTTTGTTAAATTTTATGAATGTAACATCAGTTTCGTATGAAGTTATGTATTGATGGCTTAGTCAAGGTTATGTAAAAATTTCATGTTCTTTATTTTGAAATAGAAAACTGAAAGATTCTTGATACCGTAACTTACCTATACATATTTGAAAAGATCATAAAAATATAAATTTGTAATTTCAGAAATAGAAAAATAATTTGTCATACGTGTTAAATTTCAAATTTGGTACGAGTAACACGTAATCGATATTTTCATTAAGAGCATAATTAAATGATTTTGCACTTGACCTTAAAAAAGCGAGGTACTAAGATTCAACAAGACAGAGCACACACAGTTATGCAGAAGCACATACACAAATATGCTAATGTGCCTGTAAGTTAAAAGAATAAAGCTAAGTGTACAACATTTGTTGACAACAATAGTTGACAACCATGAGTTGTCAAAATTTTAGCATGTGATGTAGAAAACAGTTTTTTAAAATGGATGGATATGATGATGCCAAATAAGATGTTGTCAACTAATGTTATGAACCAATGTTGTACATGTAGCATGATTCAAGTTAAAAACTGTTTTCTGACACAACTTTCCTCTAAATAACTTATAATTCAATTAATTACTTAATTAAGTCAATTCAAGCAATATTACACATGGGCTTAACAAACAGAAATTATTTGATGCAAAATGTGCCCTTAATATGTAGTTGACGAGAATTCCAATTAATGCTATTTCACAACTTTTCTCAGTTCCAGTAACTAATCCCCTAAAAATTTCATGCATATCAGATTTAATAAACAAATAATAAAATGCTGATTTCACCAATATAATTTAATACAAACTGAAACTTGTAACCAATTAAATCATGTTTCAAAATCCTAAATAAAAGGTCCGTATGATAATAAGGCTAAAATTAATGCTGGAAATAAAATATTTAGTCATGTTATACTTGATTTAATTTATTGAGTCTAATGAATTCAAGCAGCTTATCGCTCGCAACCAACGACACTTTAAGAAGGTAAAAACAACTATATGAAAATGATTTCTTTGTATCGAGGAACACGATTATTTGTGCTATCCCAAATAAAAGTATCAATTCATGCATCAAAATAGTCGTCACCATATTATATCTTTAGAATCTGATAAGAGCCTATAACATATAATATCATTTGTACAAGATGGTCAATATCATATATCATATCATATCAATTCGTTACCATAACATTTATCAACATT